CTACCTTTATTAAATTAGTCTCTCCCAACCTTAATTACTTTAAATACACATAAAAGCCTTTAATAACTCTCCCACTTGATTAAAACACGTGAAGAACACGTGATCTATACTTGAAAGTTAATAAATCAACGGAAACGGTAACAGTATCACTTTTACAGTCTTTTTCAAGACAAAATCCAAGCAATACACAAGAATCTGAGATTAAAAATCTCAATATTAGAATTAAGCAATTGGAGATTGAGCTGGAAATGACAAAGGAAGAATTAAAAATCTTTAAAAATCCTGGTACAAGTTCTTTGTGAATGGTATTTAAGTATTCTTTTCCTTGTATTTCACAATCAATTGATGAGCCAGAGGTCAATGCTGAAAATTAACTTGAGTTTCACCTACAAAAAATGAAGAAGCAAAAAACTATGTCATTTTCTCAGCTTGTTACTAATAAGATGTCATTAAGATTGTTAAAAGATGCAGAGGAGAAAGCAGAAAAAAGCCAATAAAATAAAATATAAAAAAGAAGTCATTACTCAAAAATGATTATTACAAGAAGTTAAAAAGATACAAAAATGAAAGACACAAGCACAGAAGAAAGAAGAGATAGAACATGCAAAAAAGGAGAAGCAACGGTTAAGGGAAGAAAAGAAATATAAGAAAATTGCACAATATTAAATTATGTTTTTTGATTATCTAAATTAATATTCATAATGCATCATTTTTGATCAATTATCCGAAAATTGTAAATTTTTAGAGAAAAGTTTCTTTATTAGAAAAATAATTTTTTTTAGTTTAAATTTTTTTTATTTTAAATAAAAATATTTTCTTTGAAATCCAAACAATATATATTTATTAAAATTTTTTAAATTCTATATCAATTTTACAAAGTTATATTATTAGCAATGTTAATTGTGTCATAATACCCTTATCTATCTTATATATATTAAAATAAATCCTAAAATCTAATAACTTAATTAAATGAAACAGAATTAAAATTTTATTTTAAAAAAATAATTTATTAATAATTATTTGAGGTATGAATCTTTTTGCATTGGATCATAATATAAATATAACTACAAAAAGTAATTATAAAGAAATTGAACTATATAATTTGGTAATATATATAAGAAAATTATAATATTATCATTTTAATTGAATATAATAAATTTAAATTAATTACTATATGATCTGAATGTAATAAAATAATGTAAATTTTATTAGAATTTATAATATAATTACATTGTTTTTATTGCACTTGGTTCATATATAAATTCAAATTAAACTATTTGAATATTCAGATTTTGAATATTAATATATAGTAACTCACTAAGAAATAAAATACAGAAAAAATGGTGAAATTCAAATATCTCATTATTGAAAATCAAATTTTATTCATAAAACAATAATAATCACTTAATTCACAAGCTAATGATTTTTTTTAAGTTTCATTTAATATGACCAAATTGGACAAGAAATAAAGATAAGTATAAAAGCACTTTATTACACTTTTTACAAAACACATTTTCATTATTCTCAATAACAATTCTAATAATTTTTTATTCCAAAATGAGAAAAATGCTATCGGATATACACAGACAAAAAGGATATTTGATCCGGGAAATCGCATTATCGAAACACATTCTTTTGGATCGTTACGAACGGAATGCCATCCAATTAATATCATCTGGAAAATACACTACTGCCGTCCAAGTTTAACACAAGCTCCAAACTGAAACTTCGATTCGAAACAAACGCTACTTCAGACTGCTGTGACAGATAATGACGTCTTCCTTTTGTCATAACAACCTGAATATAAAAAGTGGTCTGAATAACAAGGGCGAAATTTACTGCTGTTGATAATATTGTCGTCTGTTAAGTACTAGATTCTCGATTATCGATTGCCTTGTGTTATTTATGGTTGGAGTATATTTCGATAATTACCACTATCACTATTGGTATTGTCGTTGTTGTTCCGTTAAATACTAGATTCTCGATGAAAACGATAAATTGTATCCATCTCCGTCTTATTCACATTATTAATATTCTATTAATAGATAGTCAAATATTTTTAACCTATTGCTATTATTCATGTTGAAATTTAATATGGTTAGACATTATAAATTTAACTTTGACCATATCGATATCGATATTTTCGACTTTGAAAGTCTTTGGACATTGGTCAGAGTTTAATTAACGTTAATTTTAATTATATTAATTATATTTAACAAGGAGGTGCAGGTTACAAAACAAATAACCAATGATACGTGTTGTAAAACTACGAAAAAACGCGCAGTTTTTTGTTTTGCCAAGACTTTTTTTACAGCCACATGTGCGCACGAATTCTTTTCTGCACATCTTGTATCCATTAAAATTTCATCACTATGAATTGAATTGGGTATGAATGTATGAATGTATGGCTTTATAGATTATTATTTAACGTTACCATAAGGACCTTACTAATACTATTCACGGTTTCAGCAATTTCATTGGTGGAGAATGGGTAACATTATCATTCCTCTGATTGCTATAATAGATAAACAGTGGCAACCAAACCAGCTAGAAAAACATTCGGCCTAGGGCCGTTTTATCTTGGATTGCACTTCTAAAGAGAATCTTCTAAATTAGACCCAGTGCCTGGAACTGTGTTTCCTATTTATGAAATATGTATGATATATTTATTATCTTCCGTGTGCATAAATACATAAGCCTGAGTGAAAAATTTAGTCATTTTCTATTTTTCTCTATTTCACATTCATTCCCTTCTCTTTTATTTGATATTTAAAGTGTGTATTATTGGAAAAGTGTGTATTATTGGAAAATTCTCGAAAGAATAGTTTTCTCGAAAAGTAATAACAATAATAATAATAATATTATCTTTACAAAACACAATTATATAGAAAATGACCGACAGAATAGTGACCGAAAGGTTTGACTCATCCATAACTATGCCTACACCAGAGGTATATTATGCTGGCGGCGATGGAGGGGCTGGTGACTCTCCTTCCAATGAAAAGGAAAAAGGAAAAGAAACTAATCATGAAGCACGTAAATCAAGTTTAAAAACCAGCGAGATCATTCAACATAATCCAGCCGTATGGTATAAACACACAAAATCTTTGTTGGCTGGCATCAAATCAAATTGGCTTTTAATTTTCTTCATCCCCGCGGTGGTGATGACGAAGTATAAGGGACACATTAGTTCCATTGTGATTTTCATCTTTAATATGTTGGCTATTATTCCCTTGGCTAAAATTTTGACTATCTCTATTGATGACATAACTGCTAGAATTGGACCGGTATAATGAAATTATTTATTATTTAGTAAATTAATCTCAATGAAATTATTATTCTAATAGATTTATTTTAATTTGTCAAGGCTTATCAATCTGTTCTTCACGCTTTTTCGGGAAATTGTGTGGAACTTATTATTCTTGGATTCGCCTTATATGATAAGCAATATTCCATTGTTCGTTCTTCTGTACTAGGCGCCATTTTATCCAATATTCTATTGGTAAGTTTATTTGACCTAACTAAATTAATTATGAACTTAGATTTTAATTGTTGTATAATAAATACTCAGATTCTAGGAGCAGTATTTTTGATAGCTTCATTGCCGAAAAAAGGACGCCCAGCAAATCTCAATACTGATATCGATGCTGCATTTTTCGTGAACACAAGTGCATCAGTTCTTGCCCTTGCTGTGCTTGCTTTAGTCACCCCGGCTACATTCAAGATTGCAGCACCCCCGGAAACTGGCATAAATTGTGATATGCAAAATATCAGTCGAGCAACAGCCATCATTCTTTTATTGTTGTATGCCGGATTACTGGTCTTCCAATTGAAAACTCACGCTAAAGAAGTAAATATATTTTCAATTTTTTTTGTTTTTAGATAGGGTAGATAAATCAGGTGATTTCTTGTTAATAGTAGGGTCACCCCCTTGATCAAATATTATATTTATATTGTTAAATTTGCATATTTCTATTTAGCTCATAGATATGACTGAAGTTGAACAACACGAAGCAAAATATTTTTTGGTGTTTGATATTCTTTTGTAAGTTGTGTTCATTTATTTATTGATTTTAGATGACTATATTTATCTATATTTACATTTTTTGTCAATATTATAGGGCTGCTCTCGCAATTGCTGGTATTACCTTCTGCTCTAAATATCTCGTGATAAGTATTGAACATCTTGCAGAAGAATATCGACTTGGACATTCATTTGTTGGAATGGTCTTACTACCCACTTGTGGTAAGTAGAATTAGAAATATTTATAACATAAAACCAAAACATTATAGTTTTAGAATTATAATCTTTAATTTCTTTTTCTATTTAGTCATTTCCAATGCACTTGAACATTATCATGCTATCAAAGATGCACATAAGGATAAGATCGATACAGCTATCAGCTTGGTTCTCAATACATCTGTGGTAGGTTAACTAATCAAGCTATGTTATGTATCACCATTGTATTATTTGTTAAAATTTATTTTTCATTATTAGCAAATCGCACTTTTGGTTGGTCCTCTACTGGTAATTGTCGGATGGATTATTAATCGTCCACTAACATTGGATTTCACACAACTGGAAATTGCTGTATTGGCTTGTTCCGTTTTAATCGTCAATTATTTGGTTGCTGATAGTAAAGCTAATTGGTTGGAAGGTGCTATGTTACTCGTACGTATCATTATATTTCCTGTATATGTTTACTTGATCTCTGTGAATTCGAATTAATTCTGTATGGTGGAAAAATTTTAGGCCTCCTACCTTATTATCGCTGTCGCTTTCTTTTACTTCCCGAATTCACCTACTGACAACGATGCATCACTCGCCGAATGTAATCCTTTACGAAGAAATCTTCCCCCTAAGCCAAGCAGTACTGCTTCTGCTGCACACTAAATGTATAAATCAATCAATAATATTTATCGGTTATGTTTAATTTATTCATTGATTTTTCCCTTGTAAAACTATTTTTCTCGTGGTGTTATAATGATTTTCTTTCTATGCTATACATTCTTTTTCTTCTATATAATTACGGTCGCCACACTTGAATATGATGAGCCTCCTAATTTGCATTTGTCTAAAAAACGCCACGTGAAAGTTATTTGAAATAGATATTTTTGTAATTCTTATTTGCTGATAATAAATCAGACTAATTAAAATTTCGATAAACCGTTTGAGGTGTAATATTCTTAATTAAATCTCGATAAACCGGAGTTTACTAATGGAACGGTAAGAGTCACTATGTAGTTTGTATTCAAGACAATTTCTGCGGTACGAGATTTTAATAAATCTGTCTGTTGTCAAAAAAAAACTATTATGCGATATATTTATTAATTTGATAAAGATGAATGTGTAATGAAATGTGTAATGAATTATGTACAAAAAAATACTGTTGTATATAAAAGCAATAAAGAAAAAAGCTTTATATAATGAATGATGAGAGTAATGATATTTTTATCTATTTACGCCCAAGGATCAAGCGCATCTTCGTCATAATCCTCATATTCTTCTCCTTGATCTAATTCTTCTCCTTGATCTAATTCTTCTTTAATATTATCTCCTAAGCACCAGCCGCCATTAAGTGCTTCATCCTCTTCTTCGAATAAAAGTGTAGCGCTGGATATTGCCGTCGCGGTACTTTTATTTGTCATATCCAACATTTCCTCTGGTCTTTTTTGTATTTGTTGATCTGAAGTGTAGGAAAAATAAGACGATTCGATTGGAATTCCCTCTTCATCCGATTCATCGGATATTACAATAAGATCTTCACATTCCTCTGATTTACCGTGCTTGATTGATTCCAGAGTATTTGATTCCAAGGTCTCGGATTTTGATTTGGATGATTCTTCCGAATTATTAACATTACCGTTATCCGACGTTTCCTTAATTCTTGCGGATCTTTTTTTTCGGTTAAGAATTGTTCTTTTAGAGTTATGGAAACCATGAAACACTTTAAGAATATAGGAATCCGGGAGATTCTTGGGTACACCAGAATATTTATTTTCTACAAATTCTCTAAAGTTATGTAAATGGAAACTTTCAACATGCGGTAGTGAGACTTTCCATGTGTATATCGCTGTTACTAGTAAATCATATGAAGAAACAGTCTCCATATATGCTTTACAGGCTTCTTGCAGATCTTTCCATGTACTTGTTTCAAAATCAAATTCTGTAACTTTTTCTTTTCCTTTTGAAGATGAAGTCGTGGAAGGAGGGGAGATTAACATCTCTGGCTTTTTGTTGATCAAACTTGATCTTCGAACAAGTGTTTTTTCTGGTATTTCTGATGACAATGGAGATGATGGCGGCAAAGGTTGTTGTTGCTGTTGATGTGAAGACGACGGCAACGAAAAATTTGCAACAGGGATTTGTTTCGGAGTAGAAGGTGTATTCGGACTTTGGGCGAATTTGTTAAATGTAATTTGATTGGATATTTTATTAGTAGATGGTGATACTGGTGATGATGTTTTTGAATTAAATGCAGGTTTATTATTAATACGAGGAAAAGAAAAAGGTTGTGACGGAGGAGTAGTAGTAAGAAGGAGCTTGGTCTTTACAGAAGTAGGAGCAGATGGCATAAGAGAAGGAATCGAATTAGAGATATTTTGCTGACCATTAAGAGTATTGGCGTTTTTCTTTGTAGTGACTGTGACGTTTTGTGAGCCTCCAGTATCTTCATTAGAAGATTCATTAAACACGTCAACCAACATTTCTGATGCCCACGTAGGAATTACATCCATGATTTGAGTTTGAGAATTCGCAGAAGAATTATAAGTTGCGCTTTTCTTTGTAGTGATTGGATTGACGTTTTGTGAGTCTCCAGTATCTGAAGTATTAAGCACCTCAGCCAACATTTCTGATGCCCAATTAGGAATTACATCCGTGGGTTGAGTTTGAGGATTCGCAGAGGAATTATGGGTTGTGCGATTGTGTGATTGACGTGTAGTAATTGGAGATGGTTTTAGTTTGCGATTGATAGCTGAGGAGGAAAAGGCAACAGAATTTGTTGGTAGTCGCGCATTTTTGAGAGAAGAATATTCCGCTTTTTTATTATCAGAGTGAATATTTCTGTTCAAAAAAGTTGAAGTAGACTTTGTCTTTCTTCTTTTTCGTTTTTTTCTCTCGTCAAATAAACCACTTATAGTACTATCATTATCAGAAATGGAGTAATTATTGTTGTTATCATCTTCATGCCGATTTTTTGGTCCCTCTTCGAATAAATCACTTATAGTACCACCATTACCAGAAATGGAGTAATTATTGTTGTTGTTATTTTTATTGCTATTGCTGTTGTTATTTTTGTTGTTGTTGTTGTTGTTGGTGGTGGTGTTGTTGTTGTTATTACTATTACTACTACTACTACTATTATTATTATTATTATTATCATCATCATCATCATCTTCTTCTTCTTCTTCTTCATGCCGCCTATTTAGTCTCGCATACTCTGACAGTTCATACTTGGAAAATTGATCACGTAGATTCGCCAATTTTTCACTTTCCAAATTCAATTTATCCTCCATAGCCATCAATTCTCTTTCCTCCTTTAGTAATTTCTCTTTTTTATGAAGTAATTCTTGTTTTTTAATGCGCAATTCTTGTTCCATATTACGGTAATTTTTTTCTAAATACATCAACTTTTCTTTAGTTTCTTGCTTTTCCGAGTTTGTAAATTTATCCATGGTTGAATTCGCAATATATTTTTTCATGGTCGTATCATGTGTGGATGGCGATGATATCGACACAGAGTCAGTTAATGTGGAAGATTTGGTGTATCTTGAGGGTGGGGTAGGCAGTGAATACTTGTTATTTTTGATTTGGTTATGATTATTAACGGTATAGTCTGCGGTTGGATTTCTTTTATGGTCGTTTATCTCGAATCGAACATTTCTCGAATCCATTCTTACTGTCTCTTTATCAGCCTGTCTAGTATTCTGTTTCTTCGTGTCTCTTTCACGTCCTCTAAACCGGTATTCAGTGTCTCTTCTTTCACGTTCTTCCATCCAGTACTCATTGCTGTAGTAATTATTATGCATTTCTCTTTCTTGCCCGTCTTCTAAATAAACTTTACGAATATCATCACTTTGACCAATAGTTTCGTTATTATTATTAGTAGTAGGAGTATCGGAGTGTTGTGCTACCTTTTCCTTGCGCAATATTAGAGAGGAAGAAAACAAAACTTCTGTTGATATTTTTTGAGATGAGTCATCATAATTAAAATCATCACTGTAAGTATTGTTTTTTTTCATTTTTTGGTGATGTTGCTGATGATGGAAATTACGATTCCTTGGTTTTTGGAAGTAATTTTTAAACCGTTGTGGCATTTTTTTATTAATTCAAAAAAATAGGTATGTATATTATCTTTGAAAACATGGTGTTTAATATAATAAAAATCAGCCAATCAGATTGTCGAAATATGAAAACAATATCAGAACCATTAGAACCTATAGATCATGTCGTCTTGTGACTCGTATTATTTTCAATTATTAAGTTGCACAAAGTGGCAGGCGAAAGCTATAGGGTTCGCCAAAACACGAGATCAAAGCTTAGCGAGAGCTATTTCGATTTCTAAAACTGCCAACACCATAATGTAAAATAGCATTAAGCATAATCCTTTATTAGATCCGTCTATCGCTATGAAGACTTTGGTTGCGTATTCACATACGAAGAAATTCTCAAATACCTTTGGAAGATATAATAACGTTAGCTTACTCAGGCTCGATTTAACGACTGTGCGATTTAATAAAATCGTCAGATCACTATATTGAAATCGTGCGATGTCTATTCGATTTTGCTAATTACTTTTCTCACATTAGTAATTATATCAATAGTTCAAGTAGAATAAATACTCTACGAAACTTGAAACAATTGTACCCCAAATACGTAAAATTAAATTACAAAAATGGTGTCCTCATGCAGCAGGAATTGTTATTCCTACATCTGCGCAAAAGTTCGGTACATGCGACCATATATGTTGTGATGTATGCTGCGAGCAATTTAGGAGATTGAATGTTAAACCAAGCTATGCAAGTCATAAAGGCAATATTACAACATGCAAGAAATAAAATTTATGAGAGAACTGCGGTGGATTCTGCTACTGTTGGATAACCTAAATTTATTATCTATATTCAAAAACTTAATTTCTCCTTTAAATTAGTATTTACAATTTGCAATACAAAAAATCTAGCTTTGAATTAACATAATATAAGTATAATAACATTATATTAAATTCTATCATATAAATATTGACATGTTCTTTTGTATTTAAAATGAATGGTTTCGTTCTTGAAATTAATCCAATAGAAAACCAGATAATAAACTCGAGCAATTGGAAATTCATGCAATAGTTTCCAGTTTTTTAATAGTGTTCATCGAATCATGCGATAGTAGGTGTCACCATCTGTAAAACTACTATCCGTACCAGAACTGCGTAAAATAGCTGCGGATAGAGGGAAAGGCAACATTAGCATGGCGGCGAACTAATAAATTGATTTCCCGCTGCGTTGAAAAAATGTATATAAGACATCTTTTTTTTTTGATTTAAGTCACCTCTGCTATAATTGAAAAATCAAAAATGTCTGAAATTGAAATTCCTGCATGGGATGATCATGTGAAATATGATTCTATTGAAAATACTTCAAATTCGAGAAGAGTGGACATGATGAAAAGAGAGAATCTCGTCGATCTTTGTGGTATGTGTCGAAAAATGTGGTGTTTTTCCGAGAATTCTTATTAACTTTTAATATTTCATATTCACAAATTCTAGAATGGGTTGTGTGCGAAAAGGTTTGCAAAAAAATCTGTCGATTTTGCTTAATAATATCATTTATACTAATATATAAAAATCAGATTCACGGATTAAACTTTTCATTCATCACGGATGGCACAACAGTGCAATGCGCAAGAAGGATGGCAATCCTCGACGAAAATGAGTCATTTTTCGGCTATCAGATAATCAAAGCAAAATACCATGATAATATAATTAAATTATGGGAAGTGATGAATTCAAAAAATCTCATACGTGGTGTAAAGATTATTGTATACGGTGAACTATTTGGAGGACTTTATCGACATCCAGAAGTTAAACCAGTGAAAGGAGTCTCGGTAATTCAACATGGAATCGAATATTGCCCTAATCATGAGTTCATGGCTTTTGATGTTTTTGACGGTGCAAATTTAGTGGGATTTAATACCATGACTGAAGTCTTAGAAGACGCAGGTATACCGTTCCTGAAGCCATTGGCAAGAGGCTCTTTTGAACAAGTCTATAACTATGATCCTAATTTTGTCACTACTATTCCTGGTCTCTTGGGTCTTCCACCTTTACCAAAAGATAACGGAGCTGAAGGAGGTAATTTATAGAACTTGCTTTCGCTCTTTTGATTAGTGAAACATCAAATCAAACTTACTGATTTATTTTTAATAGTCATTATTAGACCAGTTCTTCATCTTTGTACCTCTAACGGGACTCGAGTCATATTCAAAATAAAAACCGCAAATTTCGTGGAAAAAACAAAATCAGGGAAAAAAAATTACCTATTAGAACAAAGAGAGGTGCAAAAGAAGCCAATAAAGTTGATGAATATAATTAATGCTGAATTGGTGTTATATATAAATAAAAATCGATTGATTTCCGTTATTTCCAAAGAAGGTCCTTTGAAAAAGGCAAAAATTGCTGAAACTGCCTTGTTGCTATACGAAGATGCCCTCGAAGACTTTCAGAAAGAAGATGATTGGTCCGAGAAATATAATGAACTAAAGCCTGAACAAAAAGATATTCTAAAGGCAAGAGGAATAGCAGCTTCTACTAAAGTGATCAAGGGATATTTGAACGAATTGAAAGAATTTGATAAATCCAACACATTAGAAGACGATGACGAACTAAGCTCCGATTTTCATCTTTTAATTGAATAAATAAGTAGTTTTATGAATTAAGCTATAGAAATTTCAGTAATATATTTCAATCAAAGATGTAACATAAATTTATTTTGAATACATATTTTATATTATATATGATCGATAAGAGTGAATTCAGTTTTTTTTATGCTGGAGCACCATACGCTTCTGGTAATCTTTCTATCGTGTATTTTCGTTTTGATATATACATAATTGGGATGCCAGGGATTTTACGAATACGTCGTTTTAAGTCTCGATCACAAGTCGCTATAATATAACATTTGTGCTAAAGCAGAAAAAAGGTGAATTAATTTACACGCCGAAAAAATTCTCGCCTAAAGTCCCATAACCCATAAATTCTTAAATGCCTAAATTTCAAGATTTTTCTTAATCAGGAATTTTCAAGTCTTAAAAATATGATCAAAGTTTCTATTACAGAATTTCAAATTCAGGCATTTAGACTTTAAGGTCATGCAGAAAAGCAAATTCTCTTTTTTTACCTGCGTGACTCGTTGAACAAGACAATCATCTGCATAAGTACCCTTATGAGTACATGGAAGTCTCTCAAACCGAGGATCACGCGCGACGCTGTCAATGGAATCAAAATCGCGTAAAGAATCAACCATTCGTTTAATAAAAAATAAAAAAAACACCTTTAAAAGATTTACCGCAAAGCTATTCTATATTTTGGTCCCAATTTTTCCAATTCAGCTATTACACAATCAGTTACGCACGGAATACCTATAACATTGATTAGAATTAATGATTGAGATTGTAAGATTAAGATTTTAATAGGAACTTGAATACAAACATTTAGCATATAAACAGTCCATCATGGCTTCCACAAGCTCCAATTTGTTTTGTATCGAGAAATTGATGAAATTTGTGTCAACAAGTATGTGATATGGTGGACCCAAGGCTTTGTTGTATCTGAAGAAGAGCGAAGAAGCGGCTTGCGGACTATTTGAAATTAAGCAAAGTAAATCAAAAATCAAAAATTACAAGGCTTCATTTTTCAAGCAAAGGTGACAAGTCAAAAACACATACACATGTCTCACTGCTTGTTTTTCTTTCTCTACTTGTTTTTTCTTCTGCTTTTCTTGAACTTGTTTTCTAAAGATAATGGTAAATAAGTAACAAGACGAAAGAAACAAAAAAAAAGAATTGGAAATAATACAAACAGTCTAGAATCATTTGGGTTGAGCAAACGTTTAACCTGTGCGAATTTTTTTGTTCTTTTAACTTTTCCCTAAAGCATAACAAGGAGTATTTATTTATTAGAGTAATTCAAAGTAATTTGAAAACTAAATATTTTCTCCCCGACGTGTACCATAACGATAATGTTCAAAGAAATGTAATGTTGATCACTTTTTTATGAATATGAATATACTATATTACAAGTATTATATATTTTATTCCCCATTAAATTACATAATTACATAAACGAATCATTTCGTATTTTTTTATAAAGGAAACTCTTTCTTCATTTCTTCTTCCCAATCATCTACTAATTCTTCATCTGCATCTTCACCTTCTGTTACACCAGTATCAGTTGTCACTTTTGCAAGTTCATCCTCCCATATATCTTGAAAATATAAAAAATAACAAATCGAGTTAGAAATCATTTTCAATTTGAGAGAATTAATAAAAAATAAAAAACCTGATCCTTCTCCCGAATTCTCTGCATCGAATAAAACTTCTTTAACATCATCTTTTTTCTCCTTTTCCTTTAATAGATTTAAAGAATTATTTTAAATAAATTTTCAATAAAATGAATTCACATAATTAATTTTCACAAACTTTTCTTGTATTCTCTTCATCCTTGCTATTAGTTGTTGTGGCTTTTGCTATATTAATCGATGTTGATGTCGATGTTGACGAAGAGGACGTTGTTTCCTTGGCTAATTCTTCGTCACTTTTCAAATACACTTCACTTGCTAAAGTAGCACTATCAATCGATCCTAATGCTGTCTGTTTTATTAAAGATATTCGATAGAAATAGTTTCGCCAAAATATTGGTTCCTGGACTCTTTCATGTAATGAGGTAAATTTTATTAGTATCAGTATTATTATTTTATTATTATTACGTCGATGGTAATAAAAATCAAGAGTCCAGATAATAAATAAAATCAATTACTGTGAGGGCACAAGTTCGAATCGCATTCGATTCAAGTTTGGATCAGCATTAAGAACAGCCATTGCGGTTTGATAATAAATATTTAAGTCAAATTGGAAATTTGTATTTTCTGGTGGATTAATGAGAAAGTTTCGTTTGTCCTAGAAGGTAAAGAATCTGTTCAAACTCGATGTTTAGAAAATTTTGGAAAGATCAAAATTAAACAATAAAAACCTTAGATAACGCTAGCATTTGTTTCTTCAGTTCATCTTCATTGGGTAAACCTTCCCATGGAGGCAATCCCACTAAAAACAAATTTTACGTTATATGATATCTAAACTAATGACAGGCTCTACTTCAAAATTTACCTGTACCCGAATTAGGTTCGATTGATTCTTCTTTAACTTGTTTAACAAATGCTTCATGTTCACTCTGAATATTTTTTGTTGTTTCTTCAACTTTCTGTTGAATTATTTGAGTAATAGAAGCGACACTTGAAAATGCTGATGTCGCAAATACTATCGAATATATTAAGATTAGATGAGTAACAAAAAAGAAGCACTTCTTTCCCTATCTAGTCATTATTACGTATATGCAAAAAAAAAGTTTACATGATAATCGTCTAGTTGTGGCATTATTTGGAATCTGCACGTCTTTGACAGCGTTTGATACAGCATTAGGAACGCTTCTTAAAGCATTTGGTAATTCAATGTTTTTAACCGCGTTTGGAAGTTCGATATTTTTTACGGCGTTAGGGAGGTCAAGGTTTTTCACCACTTGTGGTATTTCTAAATTTTTTACTGCTTGCGGCAGTTCAATGTTCTTTACTGCTTGTGGTATCTCGAGATTTTTCACTGCATTTTGGAGGTCAATATTTTTTATTGCTTCAAGATTTTTTACGGCATTTGAAAACTCCATCGCGTAACAAGTTTTAAACTGTAAAAAAGGTTTCGGATGTGTGTCATGCAATGTTCCAACTTGTATCAGTTGATTTCCAAACAGGTTTTGATTCGATCAACATAATGCGTGATGTCGTAAAGTTTGTTTCCTAAAATAATGAGCATTGTTACTGCGTGTTTGAGTATAATATAACGATAATGATAAAATAAATAAATGAACCATAGAAATCTAATAAGGTTTAGTTATGTATGTATGAATGAAACGTATTTAAATCTAGCTTTATTATTTGCTTTTGCTAGGAAGAAATATATATACGAGTGCAAAAAAGCTCTCCTTTTTTTTTTATACAAATAAACAATCTTATCGTTGACCTTGAAGCGACACGAAAATCCCAATATTTTTGGTGACAAAAGGTAAATGTTAAAAGAATTTTTTTCATCCAAGCACCAAAATGTTGTCCTCTCGTTTTTTTTCGGGGGTAAACCGCTAAAAAGAACAAAGTTTGCGCAACTACGTTTACGAAATAGCGGATATTTTATGTTACATTTGAGCGACAAATAACGATATATATATATATATATATATATATATATATATATATATATATCGATCGATATCTAAACTATAAAGTAGTTCTTTATCTTCCAAGTGGAAAGGTTTACCCTTTTTTTCCGGAATTTTTATTTATCTACAAAGTCTCGAAGACATCCTCTTTAGATAAAAAGGTCCAAAAAGTGCAAAGAAATTGGATATTAGTTTTGCGCATGTAATGGACCAAACAATTTAACTAATGATAACTTTTTGTATTAATAGATAATAGATTATCGAAAACAAAAAATAAAATAGATAAAAATGTCGACTTCTCGTAAACGAACCAGGTCACCTAATACAAATGAACCAAAGGAAAGTAAACAACTACAATGTGGACATCCAAAGCATGAAGAATACGTTTCTTCCATTAAAGAGATTGGGAAAAGAAAAACGCCGTTGAAAAGAAAATTAGTCAAAGTGCCGAAAAGAATGTATCTTGCTATAGGAATTAAAGAGGACGCATTAATTTGTAGTCGTTGCATCGTACAAACAGACAAAGATCCTGAGGTAATGTTGGGAGTTTTTTTATTTTCGTTTGCATGTTTATTTCTCTTTTTTTCCGATTTTAATCTTATCTCGATCTTTTAGTATTTGAATCATCCAAAATTTGTTAACCAGAGAATTAAAACACGTCAAAATGTAATGTCTATGTTAAAAATTGACATGGTAGATTATCCAAGGGGAAGAAAGGGATATGATGATGAAGAAGAAACATTACCACCACCTGCTAAGAAATTAAAGAAGAGTAACATTAGTAGTAAATCATCGAAAACTGCTAAGACCACAAAAACAAGAGAAGATGAAAAGAAAAGCAGCACCAATAACAACAATAATGAAGGTGATAATAAAGAAGAGGAAATAGAAGAGGAAAAGAGCCAAAAAAAAGGAAAAGAACGCAAGAATGGCAAAGCTTCTAGTTCTGGTTCCAATCTGAAAACATTTAAGGCGTCAAGAACGAACAAAAATTCTTAAGATTTCATTAAATTATATTCTATTTATAAATTATAGGGTTTTCTCACTAGATAATACAGATTAGATTTACTATTACAACTCTTGATATAGTGAATTTTATATATAGAGCGAGTTGAATCATTTATATTGATATCGATATATATTCTTAACGTTAATACACATCAATAATTGACACGTGCCTGAATTATATTTTCTCAGCAAGCAATTTTTAAAGTGCTGTGATTGTTTTTCAGAATGAGCTTATCGTTATGTAACGACTTATGAGTCGTATTGGTAGTTTAACTTCTTTTAATTATAAAAATGTAATGGTTTTTTTCTCGTTGTTCGAATTTTTTTTTGTTCGTATAATAAATTTTTTTGTGACTTTTGGCATTTATTATCTCACTAGTTAAATAAAAACCATGAACCGCAAGAGTATTAAGTTTAATCAATCGAAACGACTTTGAAAATCACAAAATAACACTTAGTTCACGGTTTCGAAACAAAAACTCGCAAACCTCGAACGATGAATTGAAGAAAAAGTTGTATCCTTCAGCATGGTCTATTTGATAGTTCCGATACTTGGCTATTTAACGGACCAGAACATAGTATTGCGTATTTTCTGGCTAATGTCGAATGCGACGTTTGACTGGGAGATTCACGCAGTAATTAGTATAGTCTTTCAGATTTTACTTGGGATGATATGGCTGTTCTTGATCTACCCGCTTTTGTTAAAGTTTCTTACATTAACTTTCGACGCAACAAAACGCGAATTAATTAATTAACAATTTGCAAAAAAGAACAGTATATCAAAAAAAATCACAAACACAAGGAAATAGCATTTATTGGGCACTCACAAAGTAGTAACCAAACTTTATGAAAATAACGCATATAATAAATGTGATGCATAATTAAAATAATTTTTGGCAATTGAAAGATTAGCTGGACTAATTGACGGCGATTTATTAGGACCGCCCGCCTTTCTTGAACATCAACAATCGAAATTATTTAAACGAGTTGCTTCCAAGCAAAGTTTTCGATTTTGTTCGTAATGCTGTTAGTGCGACTTTTTCTTACAAAGCCAGTATTTGGTTATTCAAATCTTTATTTTTAAACATGAATCAAAATTTTATTTACAGGGGATACCGATACTAATTTGTTGTATAGTAGTCATTATCGTTATTCAGGTATATTATAAATTAATTTAACATACAACCTACTAAAATACCTAAACGTAAACAATCAATTTTTCTTGGTCCATACCTTTTTTATTAAATATAAACATAAAAAAGTCTGCTCGAACCGGAAAATTTCAGCGTTTCACCGAAAATAATTGCGTAGAGTCGAGAGATTACAATTCCAAAAAATCCCATTGAAATCGTCGTCTTTTATGGTACCAATGATCCGCGCTCGCAAATCCGAAGGATGTGGAAATTCTATCACTATCGATATGAGAAAGATTAAAGGAAAACGGTAATTTAGCATCTGCCACTTTATTGGAGGATATGGATTTCGCATGGTCGTTAGATTCAGCGAAAACGATCTTTCCGTTGGTTAAGGAACATTTGGATAAATTTTAGAATGTACGATTTTTTAATTTCGAAGCTCCCGATTTTTTAATTAGATAACGGTAATTTTGAAGCTCACGTGTTCTTGATGCTTATTAATACGAATGATAGTATAATGATTGGTTTCTAACGATTAACCTCGATTGGTTATGTTGTATAACTTGATTGTGTCTCGTCATCCTGAATAAAAACTTATTCTTTCAACAAAGACATAACGTTTTTTTCGAATATCTTTTTTGACACCCTCCAAGACCTAAAGATAATAGTATTAGCATTACTAATAGAACCTCAACATTGGTCTCTGTTATCTCCATGTCTTTTAACACTACAGCACTACCGTCCAATTCGACTACTCGAACGCAACCAATACGTCGCGATCCTTCAAATCCTCCTTGCAAGAAATTTTCACCTCGAACAACCAATAACATTAACAATAATGGCATTCTAAACACTGCATCTAATCCAGTAATAAAATTTGTTAACTCTCCTGGTGGTGTAGTCATGGATTCAGACCTGCAAAAAAAGATTGATGATAATGTGAAAAGTTCGATGAATGACGATAATTTAATAAATTCAAAACCTTTTCCGTTGACAAACGCATGGACTTTTTATCATGACAAGTAAATTCCTAATTTATATCTTGACTCCTTTTTTTGATGGACTTGGGAAAGTAAATAACGCGCGTAAATGACTCCATCTGTGCAAGAACCAAATATTGATATGACGCGTGATTTTCTAATTCAATGTTACAACGATTTATACAGATTTGTTGCTAACGCCTCTCCAGAAGAATATCAAGAAAATCTAAAAAGCCTTGGAACGGTGACAACTGTACAGGTACTGCGAATTTATTTTTATTGATGTTCCATTCATAACATAATGAGCTAAACAATATTCTGATTTCATAGAATTTCTGGAGTCTTTATCATTATATTCCAGGGCCTGAAACACTACTTCTAAAGAACAGTCTCCATTTTATGAAAGGAGGTATCAAACCTATATGGTAAGTTATGTGTAATCTAGCTTTAATTATATATTCTCGCGTTTCTTGCTTCCTAAGCGCCTCCCAATTCATAAAATCGAAAACAACCAATTAACGTGCAGTCACTACATCATCATTACGCTTCGAATGGACACAGGGAAGATCCACGTAATGTGAATGGAGGTGCGTGGTCTTTTCGTGTCAATAAGCAACAAACGGCAGAAGTGTGGCGGGAATTATTAATGCTTTTGATCGGAGAACAATTTGAAGAATTTGTCAGTGTTGGTAAGTGGGAAAATTATGAATCTGATTATTTTTAGCATTATTATTATTATTCTTTTCCTCATTATTATTATTGTTGTTGCTCGGGATACTTAAGATGATGATATTTTCGGATTAACCGTCTCGTCACGATACAATTCCGATATCTTTACAATTTGGAATAAAAATGCCAATGTTCATGAAGAATCCAATGTTTTAGATCGATTATCCATTATGCTAAAACCAATAGAGTTGCAACTTCCTTATTATAAAGGTAATTAATTAATTATGCAAGATGTGGAGGTGCAAATCTATCTAATCAGCTGATCTTTTATTTTCAACATAGCACATCGAGAGCATGCAGCATTCAAGAGAACAAATTCGTCAAGAAATGGCAAATAGAAAAACCAATTTATAAGATTTCAGGTGGTGTAAGTGTCTTGCTAGTATAAACACTATCCTTTATCTTGGTTATTCCGTTGCCGAATAGAAAGATATGTATATAATAGCTCTCCTCCTTTGGTGTCTTGCATGATAGCTTAGAAATATCTCGTGATAGTGAAAAGTTACCTTGAGGTTCAATCAATCTCGAGAATTTCTTCTATCCATGAATGATAATAAATTAGTTGTAGATATTAAGATGTTTAATGTGTATTTTTATTAATTAATGATAACTTACCATTATTTTATTTCTTGGATTTAATTCTAATTAACTTTATTATAACGAATATTTAAAAGCTAAACAGATCAAATAGTGACATGCAGACCAAAGACTAAAAAATCTATATTATTCAATGATGTGACTGATTGATTAACAAACAAAAATAATTTAATCGAATAATCGGTAATATGATCATTTTCAATCATGATCCTTGCTAGGCGGTTGCTGATTTCAAATAAGCAATAGTATCATTTCGGTCTTTTTCTTTCTTGAATCCTGCAAATGCCATTTTAGTGCCGGGAATATATCTATTCATCATTATCAACGTTAATAAAACCGAGAGCGAAACAAAATGAGCATGACCATAAGAAGAACATACTTTTTCGGATTTTCAAGGTAATCAAATAACGTCTCTTCACTCCACGTCACCCCTTTCTGCTGATTTGCAGCTGTATATTGGAATCCGGACACGGTACCTGATTTACGACCAAATAAACCGTGCAAATTTGGCCCAACTTTATTTGCACCTCCTTTCTCTAATGTATGGCATTGAGCGCATCGAGTTTTGAAACTACATATTTTTTTATTTTTCGTGTAATCATAAAAGAAGTGGGTAAAAGAAGTGGATCAAATATGTGGATCGAATCAGACACCAAGCTTTTTTTCTCCTTTCGTTTTTTTATTTTACTTTGACGATAATATGTGGTCACTTACAGTTTTGCTCCAGCAGACGGGTCAGCAGTAGCTATTTATTTTTTTTACAAAAAAAAAAAAAAGCGAGGGGAATAAATATTCAAGTACATGCATGTTATTCTCGGAAACAAAACTGCGTAGAAATGTACTTTTGGTATAAATAAAAACTTACCAGCATCAAAAGGCATGATTTATTTCTCTATTTTTAAGTATAATAAGAAGAGTTGCTGATGAAAAAAAAGCAAAGAAAAAAAAAACGAGCGAATTGTTGTTCTTAAGCCGAAATTCATTCATCGAGATTAATGATGATCAGGATGAAACAAAATCTATTTTTAAAAACATAAACAAAATGACATCGATATGCAATCAGCCGAGAAATAGAAAATAGACAAACAAATCCTGAATACATGTGTATATATGTATAAAAACATTGACATAATGGATCGGTGTCGATCGCTATTATATATAGAAAGCAGATTATTACATTTTCAAAATTCGACACGTAAACTAAAAAAACATGTCGGATATGTCGGATACTGGAGATTGGTGTCTCATTGAAAGTGACCCAGGTCAGTATGCTCTGTTTTGTTCTCTATTGGTAAATAATTTAGGCATTTCACTTCAAATTCATTAACTACTATACCCAATTGCAGGTGTCTTTACAGAATTGATAAGAAAATTTAACGTAGAAGGCGTTCAGGTTGAAGAAGTTTGGAGCTTGGACGACCAAACCTTGGAAGATCTCAAGTGAACAACTTTTTTTAAAAATGTATGGCTCATTAATTTTAAATACTAATCCAAGGTTTTACTTATTATGAAATTGCAACAAGGCCTATTCATGGTCTCATATTTTTGTTCAAATGGCAAGCGGGAACCGATAGTTCACAACATCATCCCGATGCTGATTTGAATATAAATGAACAAGTCTATTTTGCTAAACAAGTAGTTATTTAGTTTATTCTTTTGTTTTGAATTGATCAGTAATAAAGCATCTAATTGAAATAATTCTTCAGGTAATCAATAATGCATGCGCGACACAAGCTATTCTTTCTATCCTTTTTAATTGTCCAATGCTTAAACTCGGGGAAGACCTTGATTCTTTTAGAGATTTTACAAAAGAGTTTGATCCTTATGTACGTTCTTGTAATTCCTTTATGCGTTATGCATTTCATCTCTCTCCCAATTTCCTCACCAAATTAATTTTTTTATTGATGAAGAACAAAGGTTTAACGATCACAAACAGCGAGATTATACGATCTGTGCATAATAGTTTTGCCAGATCAGATCCTTTTGTGTCTGATTCAAAAGTAGCCGCCACAGAAAAGGATGATTTGTTCCATTTCATTTCCTATGTGCCAATTAATGGTGCACTGTTTGAATTGGATGGACTTAGTACCGGACCAGTAAATCTTGGTAAATAATACAGGATTGATTTGATTTATCATGTTATTTAGCATGCATTTTTGCTAATTATGTTACTTTATATGTAAAAGGTCCTTGTACAGAAAACAATTGGCTAGACAAAGTTCGACCCGTAATACAGGAGAGAATGGCACGCTACACATCCGCGGAAATTCGTTTCAATCTAATGGCATTAATCAAAAATCGGGAAGTTGTATACGGTGAACGTATATCAGCCTTGGATGTACGCATACAGGAGGCTAATGTAAATAATAATGAGCAAGAAATCAGACGACTTGTTAATGAAAAGGAACTTTGGTTACAAAAAATAGAGTTGGAAAAAGAAAAGTTCCGGAGATACGAGGTTAGTAATTTAAAATATCGGCTGCTGCTGATTGAGATGATTAATTATATTTGACTTTTTTGTTTTTATACGATTAGCGTGAAAATTCTCTTCGTAAGCATAATTTTATACCATTGATCTATAATCTTATTCGTATATTGGCTGAGCGTGGAGAATTACAACCCCAGCTTGAACATGCAAAAAAACAAGTACAAATAAGAAAAGAACAATCCGAGAAGAAAAAAGGCGAAGGGTCAAAATGATAAATACATATATTTATTAGTAAAGATACATGCATCAGCAGGTCAATTCAGTCGCTATATATTTATTATAGAAAAAGCAAAACGGGTAATTTATTTGCATACAAAAGAATTGTTGAATTTGCCCTATAATTCCAAATAAAATTTATTTTTTTTACTAAACTAATCAAAGTAACTGTTGCTGTCCGATTTATTTTTTTGTGCCACCGCGATCTTTTACTTGCAATCCTATGACTCCACCATCTTCCATGTTATAATAAGCTAATGTGACTTGATTCTTCATTACAACGCCATTACCGCCCAGTGTTAGTTTTTGTCTTCCTGCTGGAAAGCCTAAATTAGTGGCAATTTTATCCTTTACAGCTGAAACTAAAGTCGTTAGAGGTATATTTGAGAAAAGTAAAGCTTGTCCGTGACATTTCCATTCGGGTTTTTCAGGAATGGAAGGACATTGGATCTGAATAGTTATGGCAGCCTAGAAGAAAGTAAGAAGCGAATATTGTTAGAATGTTAAATACTAATACTGTAAATAGTTACGATAGCTTACTTTGTTATTGGATAACCAAACATCTTCAGCAATAAGTCCACTACTTGCGTCTAATTTTTGTCGTTTTGTAGCAGGACCTAATTCTGTTTCATCCTCATGACCTTCACCAGAATTCGGTAACGACCCTTGAGCTGAAGGTGGTGCAAGAGCTGAAGACTGTTGAGCGGGTCGATGATGAGATTGCATGGATGGTGCAGGAGGACGCGAAGGTATAGCTTGACCTGCACCTGGAGAAGACATATATCCAGGAAGCTGATGTGCGAAAGGAGCAGATGAATGCACATAACCTGAATACATGGCAGCATTCGGTCCTTGAGGCACGACTGGATTAATGGGATATGCAGTGAAAACAGGCTGCTGATTGCTATGCATAGATTGTGAAGTTTGTCCTTGATGTTGCATTTGATGCTGTAACATCTGATGTAAAGAAGCCTGTTGGTGATGTAATTGTTGTTGTGAATCCTGTGGTAATGGTATTCTTGGGCCAATTTTTGAATCACTATCACTAATATTTAGGAAGTTGATTAGTAACCAAATAGGAATCTGCAAAGAAATATTAAAGAGTAAAAAGGGTACCTTGTTAGCCCTTTGCTTCTATGGATGGCGGCAATTTGTTCGTCTATTGATACGCCAGCAGCAGCACGCTGAGTAGCCATGTTAATTGAAGCAGTATGTCCATCCCAAACAACTTTTTCTTTTTCAATTCTTTTTCTTTTCTCCTCTTCTTCTCCAATCTAGAAAAAAATAAAAATTTATAAATTAAAATAATTACCAAATCTATTTTCACAAGATAAAAATGCATACCTTACGACCAATCTCAGTTTCTTCAGTACCAAATATATCGGAACGATATCCTGAGAAGGCTTTCAAATTCCTGGCAACATCTGTTCCTGTTATTTATAAGCAAATTAATTTATTTTTAATATGAATGTCTAGCTGCGAAAATTTTTAAATCACAAAGAGCTCTTACCTTCTTGAAGTAAATTAGACTCTTTCTTTTTAGCTTCTTGTGCTTGTTTCTGTTCTTTCCATTTAGGATCCAATAATTCGACTCGGACATGTTGATCCATTTCATCTACTGGGACTGCTTGATTACAGCGAGGACATATCTGAGTAGGTTTGCCAGTCGAAGTCTTAGGACCAAATACTATTTATTTCACAAACAGAGTTAATTAATTTATAATCAATTTTGGTAAATCCAACCAATTAAATGAACTTACTTTTAGGTGTATAATCTTTTCGAATTTTAATAGGAACACTAGCATCAGGGGGTTTTATTTCCACGTATGCAGGCTCTTGTTCAGGATCTGCATCATCCTCTTCATTTTCTTGAAGTATTTGCTCATCATCTTCTTCCATATCAATATCCTCGTCCATCTGTAATTCAAAGGTTCAATCGAATAAGTGTAACTATACAAAATATATATAATGTAAAAAATCAACATACCTCCATATCCATCTCTGCGCCTTTATCTTCTTGTTGAATATCTAATACAACGGACGCCATTTTTTTTTGTGCTAAAGTCATATTTTCTAATTCCATTATACTCATGGGAGGAGGAAGATCGATAGTTTCATCGGCTTCTGTGAATTCAACCGTCTCGACAATTACGAAATCATGCCAGTCAATAGATGCATATGCGACTATGAATAGCAAAGATGGTAGTTTTATTAATTATCTGAAAATAATATTTTTTATCATTTATATATTAATAATAAAGATAACATACTCTTTTCTTGATCTTCTTTTTCTTCTGCTTTCTTCCTTTCTTCTTCTTGAAATGCGGCATATTCAACACGTTGCATAACTCGATTCAAGATTTGATATTTGTTTTCGGTGTTTGACTTTAATTTTGCATTCAAATTCTTTGGAGGTATTAAAACTTTTGTGTATTGTTCAACTAGTTTTGTGAAATAATTGAATAAACTATGGTTCGGTCGTAGAAAATCAAACTGATAATTTCGCTGTTCGCGCTGTGATAGAGCGGTCATAAATTGTCGTCCATTACGAGCTACAAATTGTGCGGTAAGCTTAAGAATATCACTAAGAATGTATATCTTGTAGTGTAAGTCAAAATAATTTGAAATTAAATAAAAAAATAGGGTCAACTATTACTTACAGATCTTGAGCCGAAATTGCCGGCATATCGGTCATAAATTCGAATGAAGGTGGCTCTTTTGGTGGTGCCTTAGGAGGAGGCCCTTCATTTTTCTTTTCAGGCTTTATATCCTTAGCTTCGGGTTTTTTAGGCGCTACCAAGACCCAGTAATGACAATTAGCAAAGGAACAATAATTACGAAATATTCACACAATAAATACCTTTGCCTTCTTTAGTCTCTGTAATTTTATATTGGTAATAAGCATGGTATGGATCGTTAGGATTCAAGAAACTGAACTTGGCGTTATGTTTTTCATTTTCTCGAATACGTTCTTCGAATTGGACGCCATTTCTTGCTACAAAAACCGCCGTTCTATCCACAATGTCTATAATAAACAGGGTTAAGGATTACAAACAAGATTTACACGTAAATTGGACTAAGTGTCCAAACTTTCAATTCTTGATCATACTACTACCCAGAGAAACAGCACCTTAGTAAGTGTTTGATGCTGTGAATATCAAAGAAATAGAATTCTCTTTTTTAAATTATTTGCATATTAAAAACAATAAAGGGACAAAAACACGAAAGAAAACGATGACAAAGTAAGGATACTTCTAATATCTGGAGGTGGATAAATAATGCCCACCAAAGGTTTAGAGTCTTCATCGTTACTACTAGGTTTTTCTTCGGGTACTTTAGCAGGAGGAGCTTTTCTTGCAGCTTCAGTAGAATTGGGTAACGTTTCTGATTGTGTAAGTGATACCATTTTCGCTTTTTTTTTTTTGGTATCGATTTCTTGGATATTTGTCTTGAAAAAATTGACAATCACATGATTCCGACCTGAAACCGAATTAATCCGGTCCTTTATTAATTTGTTCTGCAAATATAACAAAATATGAAATTTACAACTTTCTCAAAATACAAGTTTTTTATTCTTTAAACTCCAGCTGTCCTGCTGGTTATAAACTTGTAGTATTTTCTGACACTCTTTAATCATTTTTGTTGTTGGCTTTATTAAAGAATCAGACATCCAGCATAATAGTACATATATAGAATTGGTAATAGTAATAAATAGTAAAGTTTTTTGTCTTCTAAGTAAAGTATATAGGTTCTGGATTCTTTGGAGATTCTTTTGCATAGAGATTTTTTATTAGTAAACGTGACGTTCTCAAAAAGTACTTTAAAGTATATAAATAAGTTATCTGGACAATTGATTACTTAGTTAATCACATGAATTTCTTCCTATGATGACTGCGAAGCCTATGACAGTGCTGAATCACGTGGCCTTGACACAAGAAAATCCAATCCAACCAATAAGAATACGCAAAAATTCTGCGCAACCAATAGGAATGTAGCAAATTTTTGATCAATGCGACAAAACAAATCCGGCACAAGAAAATGAGAAAAGACAAAAAATGCGAAAAATACAAAAAATAGATGTCTAAATATAGCTTGGCACACTATCAAAAAAGGTCGGGAAGACAATTTTATATATATTCTTGATCTCAGCTCTAACCCTAACCCTAATACTTGATATCTAATATTAATCGGATATTTTAATGGACTTATTTCAGATCACGTGCACCGTACATTTTTTTCGACATGGCTAAGATACTAGACTTCCCGGGTACTTCCCGAGTACAATTTTGCAAACCCGTGACGTAAAGACATTGATCAACCAATGAATTTGTATGCTAATAAAATAAATCGGGAAGATTTTTTGAACTTGCGACTGTGAATACTGGTTGCTATTTACCGAATGGCTGGTCGTGATGAACAGAAAAAGAAACGAAGCAATCAAGAAAGAATTAGCGAAGAAACGAATCGGACACCTAACGGAGATGAATCTTTAAAAAAAACGTCAAAAAACAGAAACAATGGCAGATACTGGTTATAATCCTTACTTGGCACATCTAACCAATCAACAACTCACCTCTAATATTAATTCTAGAAGTCCTCTTGACGGCTTTATACCTGGCAAAACAACCGCCGAACAAGCTAGGAAAGTTGAGGAGGGAAAGATTAATCCTTTTACGAGTAAATCTTATTCTCCCGAATACTATAAACTTTTATCAACTCGTCGGAATTTACCCGTTCATGCACAGAGACATGAGTTTCTCAATTTGGTACATGAAAGCCAATTCGTTGTGTTTGTTGGAGAAACAGGATCGGGTAAAACTACACAGTAAGCTGTTCTCTAAATTAAATTTTGATGATTTTCTTTGTCTTTATGACTATTTGAACTAAATTTTTATAAAACTTGCAGAATTCCTCAATTTTTGTGTTATGACGAGTTACCCCATTTAAAAAAAAAACAGATTGCATGTACTCAGCCTAGACGTGTTGCAGCAATGTCTGTTGCAAAACGTGTTGCTGACGAGATGGATGTCAAGCTAGGAGAAGAAGTTGGTTACAACATTCGTTTTGAAGATTGTTCAGGGCCCAAAACTATATTAAAATATTTAACGGACGGTATGCTTCTTCGTGAAGCAATGAATGATCCAAAACTTGAAAGATACTCTGCTATTATTCTTGACGAGGCACATGAACGTACACTCGCGACCGACATTTTGATGGGTCTTATTAAAGAGGTATGAAAACATAAATTTTGTTACAACTTAAATACACATTAGATAACTAATCCAAATTAAAATCAATAGATTGCAAAGAAAAGACAAGATTTGAAAGTAGTTGTAATGAGTGCAACTCTCGACGCAGAGAAATTTCAAAAATATTTTAATGATGCCCCTGTGCTGGTAATTAATAAACAAATTGTTTGTTTTATTTAAAATTTACTTTTGACATTGAATTAACGCTATTAATCATATTTAGACCGTGCCTGGTAGAACATTTCCAGTAGAAATTTATTATACGCCTGAAGCAGAACGGGATTATTTAGAAGCAGCTATTCGCACTGTAATGCAAATTCATGCATGTGAAGATGAAGGTGATATTCTATTATTCTTGACAGGAGAAGAAGAAATAGAAGATGCATGTCGTAAAATTAAACAAGAATCAGAAGAATTGATGAGACAAACCGAATTAGGCCCTTTAAAAGTTTTGCCTCTATATTCATCTCTTCCGCCTCAACAGCAACAGCGTATATTCGAAGAACCTCCTGTTAGCGCAAATGGGAAACTTGGACGTAAGGTTATTGTGTCAACGAACATTGCTGAGACTTCTTTAACGATTGATGGAATCGTTTATGTGGTGGATCCTGGTTTTAGTAAACAAAAAGTATACAATCCTCGTATACGCGTAGAGTCTTTGCTTGTCAGTCCGATAAGCAAAGCATCAGCACAACAGAGGGCTGGCCGTGCTGGTCGAACACGTGCTGGGAAATGTTTTCGACTTTACACTGAAAAAGCTTATACGAAAGAATTACAGGAACAAACATTTCCGGAAATTTTACGTAGTAATTTGGGCAGTGTTGTACTTCAATTAAAAAAACTGGGAATAGATGACCTTGTGCATTTTGATTTTATGGATCCTCCTGGTAAATAAGCCTGGCATTTTTTTTTTAATTTTCAACATTCCAAAATTCTAATGTAAATATTGAATGATAGCACCCGAAACTCTTATGCGCGCCCTTGAATTACTAAATTATTTGGGAGCGCTTGACGATGAAGGCGAACTGACTGCCAATGGAAATACAATGGCTGAATTTCCACTTGATCCACAACTTTCAAAAATGTTGATTGAAAGTCCAAATTATAAATGCTCAAACGAAATATTGTCAATTACGGCTCTATTATCAGGTATTTGTGTCTTATGCGTTTTTACAACCCTTCAAGTTTCCTATTACTTTATCTTTTCTAACTGGATGATTTTTTGTATTAAAGTACCAAATGTGTTTTTGCGACCCAATGAACTCAAGAAACAGGCCGACGAAGCAAAAGCAAAATTTGCTCATACAGACGGTGATCACTTAACTTTGTTAAATGTCTATCATGCCTATAAATCTAGTAAGTAATTTATATTAATTTTCTTTATGTATCAATGACTAATTACATTAATTTCCTCTGCAATAGATATTAATGATCCCGAATGGTGTTATAATAATTTTCTCAGTAGCCGTTCCCTAAAATCTGCGGATAATGTACGCCAGCAGCTTAAGCGCATTATGGAACGATGTGATGAAGAATTAATCAGTACACTTTTTACTGATAAAAATTATTATATAAATATACGAAAGGCTTTAACAGCCGGATTCTTTATGCAAGTAGCACATTTAGAAAAATCTGGACATTATTTAACCTGCAAAGACAATCAGGTAATTTAGCGTTTTATTGAAAATATATGTTTACATATATCTAAATTGACTGGCCGATACATATTTCTCTCAATCTTAGGTTGTGCAGCTTCATCCTTCTTCTTCCCTTGGGCATCAACCCGAATGGGTCTTGTATAATGAGTTTGTTCTTACCACTAAGAATTACATTCGTACCGTAACAGAGGTCAAAGCGGAATGGTAGTTGTTTACACTTTCTTGTTAATATGATTACGATTATTGAGCTTAAATTCATATTATATTCTTTATTTAATTTACAGGCTCTTGGAGATCGCTCCCTCATATTATGAACTATCAAATTTTCCAAAGTGCGAAGGAAAACGTGTATTAGAAAAGATTGCAATGCGCAAACTACGCAAAACTTATACGTAAACTTTAAAGATTGTATTATATTAATCAATAAGGGTGTATTTTAAAAAAGAGGACACTGCTTAGATTTTTTAATAATAATCTGCGTTTAGCTTTTCATTGAAATATAAGGTAAATATTTCTTTTCATTGAAGCAAGGATGTTACATACCAGCTATTCGTATGCTTAGTTGCTATAATTAGACCTATTATTTTATTGTCACCATTACCAAAATAATAGCTCTATCCCCGGATTCTTTGTTATTTTATCATGGTTATTATTTCTTTCGTTTTTTTGCTTAAAATATTTTACTAGATAAAATAATATTGGATATCTGTTCAAAAATTCTTTAATTTGTTAGTATTTAAATGAATTCTCGTGTTTATTATTAATCATTATATATTATCAAATAAGAAATATAATTTCTAAAATTGTAACACGAACAAACTGAATTCTACTTTCACGTGACATCAGTCTTGACTAAAATATATGCGGTACTAGGACGACCATAACTTCATAGAATTAGCATCATCATCTTTCGAGAGCTAGGCAATTCCCCACTATGATAATATTTCTAATATTGCAGCCACATTCACATATCTCTTCTACAAAGTAAGACAAACGCTTTGGTAATCCTTCATATATTCGTTAGGATTTTCAAACCATCCTCCACAATTGGAATAGAAGAAAATCATTAACACTTTGTGTCGACAATCTGAAAACTGAATACTTAACATGTCCTGAATTCATTTACCAACTTTGTGACACATCATTCCTTACTTACGGTATAGTTGCGTGTGTATGTCCTACAACACCGTTTTGCTCCGAATTGGGAAGCCATACTAACTGGGCGAAAGCTCGGAATACAAGTACTGATAATGTCACGCTTGTTTTGATCTGGTGAAAGTCCAAGAACTTGAGAGCCTAGGATTTCGGTATCACTTAAAAGCAGCACTGGCACTTTTTCAGGCTTTTGGAAAGCATTTGCAGTAAGCAAACTGTAAGTAAAAGTGTTAATATTGAAATCATTACAAAAGACTATATTGATGATAACCAGAATCCTTTGAGGTATGTATACTTGAAATTTTGATATCTCGCACTCAGTTTAGGTACATATTGAATGGCCTTCTTGAGCAAGAGGAACTCATCATGGATGGGAATCCTGGTAGAAATTATTCGATCAAACTTCCTTTCCTGACTTTACATGAATCGTTCCATTGCTTTGTTATTCGCCGACACAATTAGAAAATTTGTCCAGTTGGCGACATGCACATTTTGCTTACTGTAAATGAAAGACCATACTCTGTGATGTTCTAGAATCTCGTTTCGGTGGAAGTAGTTCCTCCAACCAGAAATGCCGATCTTTTTTTCAAGCTTTTTATATTAACGTTAACGTTAACGTTAAATTTTTTTAGTGACAAATAAAGCTCAAACTTTGTTTTTGACGATCTTATCGATAATAGGGAGGGACGATACTGGGATTTAGGAAACTACTATATTGAAGGGGTGCAAGTTTTTTGGTCAATTTCAACTTTTGGAAATTATCGTTATCGTAAAATAATTTTCTTTTTTCCTAATAAACTCGGTGTATATTTATTTATATGGTACATCAATAAATAACTGTCAAACCAAATACTATAATAATTACATGTTATATGACTACAAAATTCTATCAAAAGGAAATCGCCCATTTATAATAATCTTTTGTATTTAGCTCTTAATTGATCAAGCAAATCTTGACATTCCACTTTTTCTTTTTCCCAAATTCCTTCTTCTCTAATAATACATTCATATTCGTCTACTAATTCCTCACTATCAATCTTACCAAGTTTATTCTCTAATTCTTTTATATAATCTTTAATACGATGAATTAAATGGATTATTTCTTGTCTTTGTGATCGAGAATTAACCGTTTTTTCGCGAAGATAACGAGCAAGAGAAAAAGCGGCGAATACTCCTTTGTCCAATTCTCGACAAATGTAGAGCTTTGATTCCTTTTCGAACGAATCTATAGGACCTAAACCAAATTCTTCGAAGGCTTCTTTATACTCCTTGAAAAAATCAGATTCAGAGTCATTAAAGTATCTGTCTGCTTCAAATTCGTCCATGGATTTTTTCATATATTCCTTAAAATCAAGGTATTCAGGTTCTTCAAGTGAAGCAACAAAGCGAATGATTGGTGAAAAAGTAAGAAAGCCGAGAAATTTTAACATTATTGTCTTATTGATATGCTGATGAATGAGATAGTATTTTGGTGATTCCTTAAATATCTATCAATCGAATCGTTCATCAAAATTTTCATTTATTAGCATTACATATCGATATCATTTAGCAAAAAAACGTAACGGTAAATCAAAATTATTTAATATGGCGCAAAAAGTCTAAAGCCATCCAATGCTAAAATTTGATATGCAGGTATGAGTCACATGAAGCCAATGAAAATGCAGCATTTAGAATATACATAGCATTTTATCCAGCTCACCCATGATCGAGAATCTACCCCAAAAGTTCTGGGCACGTGATAATTTTTTGATGATGTCAGCGATGATGACCAATTAAATTGCAAGATCAACGTATCATACTTTTAATAAAAGTTTGTTTCTCTATAAAACTATCTTTTGTGTTCTAATAAAAAATGTTCCTTGCGAAATTTTACTATAAGTACATTTTTTGTTTGCCAAATAACCTTTACCCAGATCCAAACCCTAACCCTTTTCGCATAATTGACGTCATCAAAGAATTATCACGTGGCTCGAACTTTTGGTGGTCGCCCTGGCAGATTCCATGACCGATTTTCCCTTCATGTAATTTTTCCGATCCCTAACAATTTCGAAACCAATGAGGATGCGCAAATTTTTGATCAACCCGGCAAAACAAATTCGCACAAGAAAATGAACAAAAAACGCGGGAAATAGATGCCTAAATCTAACTTGTAGCACTAATAAAAAATGACAAGAAGACGATTTTACATATAAACTTAACCTCTAATAGTGCGGAATGTTTCGGGTAATTGTTATGGCTGGGAAAATTGGATCTTAAAAAAAAAATATGCAGGTTAACCAAATAAACTTCATTTCTGCGTAAATCAAGTGATTTGTGGGATGATAACGTAGATCGCATTCTCACTCAGGTGCTATCACTTCAACTGTGATTTTTGCTGTTGTATTTCCCGCCAAAATGTCTAGCAAATACAGCACGCTTCCCGATATAGTGAGTTCCTTAAATTACTACAATACACTTTTACATCTTTACTGTTTGACGATAAACCTTTGCTAAACGCGTTTAATTCCCTTTGAATGTCGATAGGACACACAGCCAGATGTTTACGAGACACCTGATAATCCCGAGGACCCTGAAGGTTCAGACGATGGGGTATAAACTAAATTTCTCAATTTAGCTTAAGATAATTTAGAAAGAAAAATTCGCATTTTAGACATAATTTGCGTGATTTTAGTACATTCTTACAGAAGAGGCTAATGAAGACATTGTAAGGGACAAAATTTCTGTGAATGATGCGGTTGACAAGTTTAAAGACAGTATCGTTGATTCTTCGAAAACAGGTAAATGACTCTGACTTTTATTATCTTAAATTTTCTCTTTTTAATTAATCTTATCCTTTCTATCGATAAGATTTTTCTGATAGATTATCCCGCCACAAAAAGCAAATGTATAAAGTTTCCTCCAGAAAACCTTTGGATACAACAGAATATGAAATATTACCAAGAGAAAATGCATCACAAGAGACACCTCTACAGAAATTACAAAGATTAAAGTATGAAGTTCAAGAGCTTGAAGAACAAGTTGAAAAAAATAAGGTTATCTATTATTATAAAAGGCTTATAATTCCTATCAATGTATTTTATGCTAATTACAAAAATCTTCTTTATATTAGGATGATCCGTCTATTTTGCAAATTTCCCAAGGAGACATGATCTCTCAGATAACTCATTTGCAAAATGATCTCAATCGTATTCAAGGTCTGGGTGATTTTGGGAGTTCTTTAAATGAACAAGATGGCACTATAATTCGACAAGCTGAATTAGGTAAAAGGTTAATTCATCAACTGGAAACATTTAAAAATATTGGATTTCCCAAAGAAGATGGAATAAGCGATGAGAAAGATGCGACCGCAGATGATGATACTACAGTACAAGCATCGAGCATAGACAGCGGGAAGAACGTATGTTCATTTATTCATTTTGATGGCACATATTAATTAATTTAAATTAAATTAAATTATTTCTTTTAGGTTGTCACTTATGAACTTTACTATTCTCCGGAAACTATAAAAACACACGCTTTAGCTAAAACGTCGGAGCTTGATGACCGCATTTCTGCACTAGAAAAACTTGTGGGCACATCACACGGACAAAACTTTGATGACCTTGTAAGCTTAATTTTCTTCATTGTGTAAAGTATTTTCGATACAATTTTTTTAAAAAATAATTTTTATTTTCATAAAGTCACTTAACATAACAAATACAAATCTAATCGCGGCAGTCGAGAAACTTGAACAACACATGCAACTTCTTGTCCAGCCGCGTCATTTAGAATCGATTACAAGGAAAGTCAAGACATTAACATCGGAATTAGAGAAAGTGAATGATTTGAAAAATAAAGAACTCTCCAATGGGGGTGTTATTCCATTTGAAACGGGAGAAAAGGTTTTGTATTGGATTTTTTTTTTGATATTTCTATGCTAGTCTAATTAGTGTGTTGAATAATAATCATTGTCTTTTTTTATTATCGAATTGAATATTAGATAAATCATCTCTTTAATCTTCTCGATAAGATCGACCCTTTAATTTCAATAGCACCAGCTCTTGTTAACAGATTGAAAGCTTTGCAACAGTTGCATAATGAAGCTGCTGTGTTTAATGATACTATAAAAATGCTAGCTGGAGAACAGGGTAAAATTGGAGATGAGCTCAAAAGTTTGAATGATGTTGCAGGGAAGGTAAGAAAAAAAAAACATAATCTGTGGCTGCTTTTAATTTGACAAAAGTTAATCTCGATTTCCTCATAGCTCGAAAAATCCTTAAAAGAAAACGATGATGCGATTCAAAGCAATATTAAAGTGGTAGATGAACGTGTTTCGGACCTTGCTCAAAGGCTGGATAAGTTATTAGTAAGTCATTAAAATATTAAAATATGCGATAAATTTTATCTTTGTCTACCTTAGGGATAATTTTACTATGGAAAAAAATGCAATCTATAATTATCTTCTCTTGTGAATGTAAGTGTAGAGGTGCAGACATTTCAGGTCAAGGGTAGTTATTTATTACCTTACGCCATATTAATGTCTGGGTTGCAACCCAACGCCATGTTAATATTTGGGTTGCAACCTAGTTTCGTCATGATTCAAGTTCTAATGTCTGCATCTCTATGAAATGTATACTAGATGTATTTTTTATTTATTTACGATTATTATGCATTAATAAATATATTTGGTGATAGTGTTGCCGATTAAAAATCGAATGCCAAAATCATGTTTAGTTTAGCAATAGTTTATACAAATTTTAACCTGAGAACGAATTTTGCCAGATTCTCAAGAAAAAGTTGTTCTCAATGGATATTAACACAATCTTGCTCCATTCGAAGTGCTTCAAATACGACTTATGGTAAGCTTATTATTCATAAAAGTAGTTCTATACTTATGTAGTTACTGATTGTTCGACTATTTTCAGAACGCAAACCATTATTTGACAAGATATTAATAGCTAACCGGTAGGAATTATTATATTACCGCATAAAGAGAGCTTTTTTCATTTGGTTAACTTTGATCTTTTTTAAGAATAGTGGAGAAATTGCATGTCGCGTAATTCGAACAGCTAAAGCATTAGGCATTAAAACAGTCGCGGTGTACAGTGAAGCCGATAGGAAAGCGCGTCATGTTAAATTGGTTAGTGAAGGTTGATTTGATTGATAAAATAAATTATAAACAGTCATTTATCCAAAATATATTTTTAGGCCGACGAAGCCTACCTGATAGGACCTTCCTCTTCAAGGGAAAGTTATTTAAATATTGAAAAAATAATATCTGTAGCCAAAAGAAGTGGTGCTCAGGTATTATTTGATAAGTGAAACCTCGTGGATTTTATCTTTTTCCAATTTAAATATCAAATATTTTTCAGGCTATTCATCCAGGATATGGATTTTTATCCGAAAATCATTTGTTTGCCGAGCGTTTATCAATAGAAAATATTACATTCATTGGCCCACCAGCATCTGCCATTATATCAATGGGTTCAAAAAGGTTATTGTTGTGTTCTCAAGAAGAATTATTTTATATAATTCAGATTAATAGAAAATTTCTGCTTTGATAGTGAATCCAAGGAAATTATGACTGCTGCTAATGTCCCTATAGTACCAGGTTATCATGGTCCAAACCAGGATCCTGTTTTTCTCAAAGGCAAAGCTGCTGAAATAGGCTATCCAGTTCTAATAAAAGCAATTAAAGGTGGTGGTGGCAAAGGCATGCGAATTGTCAACGATCCATCTGAATTTAATCTTCAACTCGAATCTTCCAAGCAGGAAGCAATCAAATCCTTCGATGATGATCAAGTTCTTATCGAGAAATATCTCCTCACACCTCGTCATATCGAGGTGCAAATTTTTGCGGATATACACGGAAATGCAGTATATCTTTTTGAAAGAGATTGTTCTGTGCAAAGAAGGCATCAAAAAGTTCTTGAAGAAGCTCCCGCTCCTGGATTAAGTGAAGAACTAAGGCATGAATTAGGGGAAAAAGCAGTGACTGCTGCCAAGGCTGTTAATTATGTTGGTGCTGGGACAGTGGAATTTATTTTTGACAACGAAACTCAGCAATTTTATTTTATGGAAATGAATACTCGACTCCAAGTTGAACACCCAGTAACCGAGATGGTGACCGATACTGATTTAGTTCAATGGCAATTAGAGGTATTTTATGCTTCAAATTCATCATATTAGATCATATTCAACATAAATAAATAAATAATCGATTTAGGTTGCTGCTGGGAATAAATTGCCTCTCATGCAAAATGACTTGCGTCTTAATGGCCATGCTTTTGAAGCACGTATATATGCAGAAAATCCTGACACGTAAGAATTTTCTTATGATTGAGCTATTCTTTTTTTGCACATTATTTTTCTCATTTATCGATATATCTGACATTTTGGTTTAACAGTAATTTCTTGCCTGATGCTGGCCCTCTTATCCATTTACATACACCTCAGCCTTCATCCACTGTTCGTTTGGAAACTGGTTTTGAACAAGGTGATGAAATAAGCGTTCACTATGATCCTATGATTGCAAAGTTAATTGTTAAAGGGAATGATCGTACTGAGGCACTTCGGATTCTGAGAAAAGCTTTAAATGATTACGAAGTATGTGTATTATTATAAGTCTGCAATTATATTTGCAATTATTTAATAAATGCCAGTTAAATTTTCATCAAGGTTGTTGGCTTACACACAAATATCGAATTTCTGAAAAAACTTTCATCTCATCCCGCCTTTATTAATGAAGAATTGGAAACAGGATTTATTGAGGTAGTATTTTGATTTTTAATTGATTTTTAAATCGACAAATAGATCATTATTAAATGAAGATCAATCATATTAGAAATATAAGACAGACTTATTCACATCGATAGGTCGCACTAATCCAATCATCTTGGCACAAGCTGCCATTTCATTAACTTTAATTGAATTAGAAAAGGACCAATCAAGAATTTCGGGAACTCTGGGTATATATATCTAGATTTTTTACAAAGTTGTTTTCGTGTCTATCATATTAATTTTATCATCGCTATTAATAAATTAGATCCTTTTTCTCCATGGTCAACACTCACCTGCATTAGGTTGAACACAAAGCACACGAGACACATTTCTTTGTCCGATTCTAATGAATCTGAATCGATTGTCGACATACAATTCAAATCCAATGGCACATTTGATGTTAAAGTAAATCAAGGCGGAGAAACTTTATCTATATTTACAGGCGTCATGGCCAAATGGAATGAAGCTCAAAAACAAATAATTCTTGATATTGATGATCGAAAATTACGTAGTCGCGTTATTTTAGACAATAATAAACGGGTGGTTGTTTTTGGCGAGGTTGGTTTTTTTTACAAGCTTTTTAAATTGTTATTCTTCATATAAATCGTAAACACATATATTCAAATAGCACGGAAAAACTGTGTTGCAAATTCCAACTCCAGCATATTTAAGTGCAGAAACATCGGACGTTGTGGGCTCTATTAAAACCCCGATGCCTTGTAAAATATCTCAGGTAATTGCATAGTATTATTCAAGCCAACTACTTTTGAATATCTTATTAACAAACTCATTTATTTAGATATTTGTTACAGTTGGTCAAGTAGTCGAAAAAGGAACTCCGCTTATAGTTTTGGAAGCAATGAAAATGGAGGTAAATAATTTCTGCTCATCGTTGATTTAATAATTTTATAATCAATTAACCGCGGAATTTTTATTATTTTATCATATTAAGCATCTTATTAAATCACCTCTTCCTGGTAAAATTGAAAAAATATTCTATAAAGTTGGAGATCTTGTCGAAGAAAACAAAAACCTTGTAGCTTTTGCAGAATAAGTTAATGTGTGTAAATTAAATCACCCCACGAAATTAAACTCTAGATTTGAAAATTATTAGATTTAGCTATTTAAGAATTTTTTGCTAATTAAATACTGATATAGCAAATCAATAAAATGCAATAGCCATAAACCATTCTCGAATCAGCTTTAAAATTTTGTCTTCCATATTGCTGAGTAATTATTAATATTACCAACGATTAAATAACTAATTATTATCGATCAAGTCACTCAAACCAATCATTCTTAATGAAACAGGCATTAATTTTGGATTAAGGCATCTGGATCTTGTTCCATGAATATATCGTAAATTTTCTTTGAAAGAGGTTTGTTGATAAAACGACTGGAATGACCCAATCCTGAACTTGCAATCTTAATTTATTTGTTAAATTAAGATTAGTAATAATTTAAAGAAGGATCGAGAAATTGAAGTTACTATAGATAGATACCTCTATCTTTGAAAGTAGTAATTCTTCTTCTTCGATTGTGTGGCATTTAAAATAGGCTGAATAAAAAGATCTGATCGTTGGATATTTACGTACAATAGCTGAAGCTATGGGCTCAGTCACTGATGGGATTGCTTGAAGCGTTCGCTGCCAAGTATCAGTATCATCGACTCCAGATCGAATCGCGTTTTCGACACAGAAATTCAAACCTTCATTTCTATTCCTTAAAAAAAGAATGTAAAATTAAGTTCTGATCGATTATAACAAATACAATAATAGATGCGTACTTACTTGTATGGGATTTTTGCGATATCGCCAGTGAGTATGAAAATCTTCTTACTTGATTCTTCCAAATTTTTAGCGTGAATGATCAAGCATTCGGCATCCACCTGTAACCAAATGAGCTCATCTTCAACTTTATCTTCATTTGGACCGTGTTCATCTGTTTTGTTTTTATTCTTTTTAGCAGTAGCGGGGCCGCCTTCGATTCCCAAACGCACAGCTTCATTGAATATACGATTTTGTTGCGTTTTCTTTTTTCGGCAATATTCTTCATGCCCTTCAATTAAATAAATTATCTGCTTGTCAGGAAAATTATCTTTTAATGTTATATGATGAGACTGTAGTGCGTTGGTTTCGATCAAGCTGCATAATTCAGCAATCGGCAAATAGTATAATACATGTCTTTCTTCTTTGATATATTCCGGGACAGGGATGTAAGCATTGAATTCTTCTTTCCATTCTGCCTTGACTTTGCGTCGCCAGCTGATGATATTAGCAATATTTGTGGGCATAATATTAACGTTCACTGGCATTTCTTGAAATCTATTAATCAATAGAGGTCCTAAAGGTTGTGCCATTAATTTACTCTCCACGTCTACTATGATTTCTTTGATCGCTTCTAACTTGTCAGTTTTACGCTTATTTGCTTCTTGCAATTCTTTGGCTCTTGCTTTTTCCGCTGCACACGCTTCCTGTTGTTATTGGAACAATCTGGTAGGCTAACGTCCGTAACATCATAACGTGAAATAATATAAAATTCACAAACCTTGACTCTTTGCCGTTCTAATCTTAATTCTTCTTTTTTACGTTGCTATATCAATAATGAAAGTTAGCAAAAAATAAGAAATAAATATATGTTTTATATGCTAACCTTTTCTACATTTTCTGCTGTTTTCGATTTTAAGACGTTAGTATTAGCTTCAGATCCTTCAAGAATCTTTCTTTTTCTTCCTCTTGTTTCTCTTTTCAGGGGTTCTTTTTCCGCAGTTTTCAATGTTGCTTCTGTGTCATTAGTCTTAGCAATAAGAAAATCTACCGGGGGCGATGAAACGAGCTTTGCGGGTTCTTTTGATATGTCGTTAACTTGAATAGTTGCATTTGTGCATTCGATCCTGATTTGAACATCTTTTGCGGATTCGGCTATTTTATCATTGACCCGATCATTTGTACTTGTACACTCAATTGTGTTAAGGGCATTTACTTGATCCATAAGCCCGGATAATATTGCACTATTATTTTTTTCGGAATCACTTGTCTTATTCAAACGATACTCAAAATCTAAGAATGAATCGTGATCACGTTCCTTTTGTGGAATAGGTGAATAAGGGAATGAAAATCTGAAATTGCTAGCATTGTCATCAGCAAAATCTTGCCCTGAGCACAAAGAAGAGACGGAGCAGTTTGGATGCTTCAGGTCGAATCTTGGCTGTTAGAGAGATGGCAATTAATATATTTAATTTATAGAGATGTTCAATTAGATTATTACCACGGTTTCCTGATTAACAATATTGGTATTTGGATTTCTGAAAAAAGAAAAAAGACATTAAAATTACGAATTTTTAAAAATCAAAATAAACTAAAACTTGCATTGGTGTGGTAGGGATATACGGGACCCCATAATCAGGAACCAGGTTTTGCACCACTGAAAGAGGTACTTCAGAAGGATCCAATAGGGTTCCTTGCAAGAACTTGACATTAAAATATAATTAAAGTAAGTTATTCTAAAGGCAAACCACAAAAGAGGCTGTAACTTACAGTTCCGTTAAGAATTCGAGTAATGGTTACTTCAACATTAAGCGTTTTTTGCAAGTCAATTAGTATCTCTTGCAACGGGCGTTCCGGTAAAACGCGCTGAACTTTATAAGCCATAGAAAGCAATTCTTCCTCTTTGTTCTCCATTGTTAAAACTGCAAAAGTTGAAAAAGCGTGAATTCCATTTTTTATTATTATGACGTCACCTGTCGTTCATTACGCGTAATAATTGGATAATCAATAAAACCATAATGATGACAACTGATCAACTTTTATATCATGTCTTCTCGAATGACACGACCTAATAACCATTCTAGAAGCACGAAAATTGTATATATAATTGTTTCATAGCATAATACTCATATAATTAAGAGTAACTTAAACTAGTTATTTCTCTATTAACAGAAAGTTACAAGTGAAATTAATGGGAAGAATTCTATAATTAAAGAAAAAACTTTTTCGTATCGAAGGAAGAGAAGACAAGATGACGATGATGGAGATAACGATGATTATAATAAAAATCAAAAGAAATTAAAATTAACGTAATCTTTTTATTTATCTGATCTAATAAATTATTATATAATGCTAATTAATATAAAAAATAGAGGTGATTCCGAATCCAAAATAACAAAAACAAAATTCATTAAAAAGAATGAATTATGGTTTGATGATGTTAAAAAAGAAGACTTAGATTTAGTATCTGCTCAAAAAGAGTCTGCGAAGAATAAAAAAGACAGCTACTGCGATAAAAGCAATCGCATAAACAAGTAAGTGGTTAATGTTTGATACGATGATAATGATTATGATTATTAATAAAAATTTTCTCCCTAAAAAAGAATTGGTAAATACATTGCGATGGACTGCGAGATGGTTGGAGTTGGTCCTGATGGGATTGAATCAGCACTCGCACGTGTTAGCATTGTTAATTTTCACGGGGTGGTTATATTGGATAAATACGTCCGCCCAATTGAACGTGTTACAGATTTCAGGACACCCATTAGTGGAATTACCCCAAAATTACTTGTTAATGGTAAGCGAAAAATTTATTTTTAAGTTAATTATTAATCTTAAGTTTATTCGTATTTCTTAACAATTTTAATATTTTTGGTGAAGCTCACGCTTTTAAAGAAGTTCAGAAAGAAGTCGCGGGAATACTCAAAGATCGTATAATTATTGGACATTCGATTAATTATGATTTTCAGGTGAAACGATCATTTACATTTATTTGTTTCTTTAGCGATGATTTTTATTGATTTCTTTGATTTGGAAAAAGGCATTGCTGCTAGATCATCCGCATAGAATGATACGTGATACTTCTCTATATGCACCGTTAAGACAGCATGCACGAGGCAAAACACCTTCCTTAAAAAAATTAGCGCAAGAAGAACTTGGATTGACAATACAGGAAGGGGAACATTCGTCAGTATGTAATTAATTGGCGTTATTTAATTTTGTTTGAATTAATCCACTTGTGCTTTATTAATCTATTAATCGTACTTCCGTAAAGGTAGAGGATGCACAAGTTTGTATGTTGCTATTTCGAAAACATAAAAAGGAATGGGAGAAAAAATGGTTAACTAAAGTTACCAAATCAAACATAATGAAATAATCCGATTTCAAGATATTTTTAAGGTTAGATTTCATTCGAGCTATGCTAAAAAAAAATAAATATAATGTCTCATGTTCTCTTTCAAAGTAAAGAAATATCACTTGCTTTTGCGAGGCGTTTTCATATGTAGCATATGTGCAGACTAACCAACTATCCAATGTTTCACAATCGAATTTTGCCGAACACATCTAAAATTTCTTGTGAATAGAAAAAGGCAATTAAGATGCTGTGTTTGTGTAACGATCAATGAACTCCACGTTCTTGGGACATTGTTTTCGCTTTCTGCGTTATCGTGATACAAAAGATTTTTGTGAGAGTTCTCCCAATCGTCCATTCTTTATTACCCCTTAGAAATATAAATATAAAACCGTGGCTTTTTTCCTTCCTTTTTTATATTAAGCCACTCAAACTTAATTTTAGAAGTTTAAAGTATTAACTATCAATTTAAACGCGCATATCTTTTTGCTGGAAAACTTCTTTATAAGAAATATATTGAGCCCAAGCTTATTATCTCTTTGATTCGTAACCTAAACAAAGAAAGAACCCCTTATAATAACTATTGAACAATTATATAGCAAGTAGATGATGAATAAAGATCCTGGAGTTCCAGCCACTCCGCGATCCCCAAAAATTCAACGCACTTCTTCAACTCAACGAAAACCCAGAGTTACTAGCGCAGCTAAACTCGATCTTACACAAACCAAACCACAAATCACGCGAAGTAATACCCTTCCACCCCCTCCTGGGAAACTTTTTGTAAAAAATACACGAAATAATACAGTAAATGTGTTGCCGGATAATAAGGAGAAATCAAGGTCTGACGATGGCTTCCACTCTGATTCCGATAAAGATAGTAATAATTCAAACATAAGTGTACATAGTAGTATAAGTCATCTTAATAGAAAATCCAACCTTTTAAAATTGGAACCTATTGTGCGAGTGCGCTCTTCTTCATCTCTTAATAATTTATCGGAAACTGCTAAAATTGATAGTTTTAAACTCGCAAATTTGACCACAAATCGGCAATCCCAATCAGGGCAACAAGCAGGCGAAGCAAGGAAAGAGAGAAAGGTAAATTCAATTTATTCTGTTGTATAACATTTAGCTAGAATGATAAATCTTATCAAGTATATCATCATGTCTTAGCTACTTCAATATATGGAGTTTTGTTAACTCAAACGTTTTCATTATTGAAATTAACCATTCTTCGAATAATTTAGCGAAAATATGATTTAGTTTTTTAAAAACTTTTACTAATATTTATAGATACAAGATTTGGAAATCTCCATACAATCATTAATAAAATTAAATACTGAATTGGATGCCACCAATAAACAACAAGCCGCTGAAATTCAAAGATTAAAACAGAGACTTGAAATGTAGGTTATTAAAACGAAAAATGTGTGTGATTCTGTTGTTAATTCAATTTATTAATTATTTTCATATTATTTAGGCATGAGAATTATATTTCGGGGCTCAATGCGACAGACGATGAGAATGAAGACGATAATGAAGTTTCAACCCCATTGTCTGATGTATGTGCTGTGTATGCTTTCTTTTCGATCTCAACATCGCATAGAGAAAGCGAGTGTTGAAAAGTAAATTTCTCTAATTCAATTCTATTAAACCAAAAAGGTTGAGTTTCTAGAACGAGAAAGAGAAAATGATATCAGATTTCGGCGGATACTAATAGTAATAGATGAAATGATAAGAACAGGAAAAGCAGCAATTGAAAGCATACCAAAATTAAATGGCAGTCGAGTACTATCTAGTCCTCAGATAGGTATTTGATTATATTTTGATACAGCTAGAATGATTTTTTATTTAGGCTCTCACAAATTTTAGAATACGTTAATTATGAATAACTAATTGGCTTCCCTCTAGAAATGAATCTAATTCGTATGTATATCATTGTTCTCATCAGGATTAAATCGAGCGCAACGAGCTTCTTCATCATCACGAGGAAAATCAACTGATACAATAAATATGGATACGATTAATGCAGAAGAATTATTTACTAAAGTTGAATTAGTCCCGGATGACAAACTTATTAAACTGAAAAAATCTGAAGCACAATCAGAACAAAAAGGGAATAATAATCATCATCTAAAAAGAGACAATATAATTTTGAACGCTGATGGATTACAGAGCTCACCGGACGATACTCGAACTTATCTAAAGGAAACAGAAGATACATATTCATCAAAAAACGAACTAAAATCAAATTTATCTCTCAAGAATCCTGAAACCAAAATAAAAATAAGCGAAAGCATTGATGAAGCATTGGAAATTAATAAGGATCGAGTTCGAGCTGTAATTGATGAACTTTTGATACTTGCTAAGCAAGATCATTTCTATAACAAAACTCCGGCGACATCGCCTGTAAAGGAAAGGCCGGGTCTTGGAATATTACTTCAAAGAGGACAATCAACGCATATATCTTCTGGTGTTAATAATAATGAGATTGATGATACAAAACAAAGTTCGTCTGCCATTTCCCTTTTACATGAACTTCAGAATTTATTAGGACTGAACTCGGTTGTTGAATCTTCCAAACGCGTGAAATACAATCGGAACAGCTTTCCTGTGATGTCATCGAGTCTAAACTTACATGTTGATCCGCCAGATGATATAGAAGAACTTCATGATTCAAGTCAAAAAACTACTACTCGAAATCGTCGACGATCATCTAAAGAACGAATTATACGCCGCCGATCTTCACCAAGTTTTAGTACTCCTTCATCATCAAATACCGTAAGCGAGAGTCACACCAATAATTACATCAATTTAAACCAAATACCAGGATTAGCCAGACATACTTCTTGGGTTTCTTCCTTAGGATTTTTAACTCCCTGGAAAGCCGCTACTACGGCTGCTGAATAAAAGTTAGTGTCTCATTTTGCCATTTTTTGTTATAAAATGTGTGATAAAGGGCAAATGGGTCAAAGGCGAAGACTGATCAAGAAAGATCAGACTTGTTTATTGGTTGGTTGATTGTTAAATTTTGTTAATATGAACTTAAAATTTACAAATAGAATAATAATACTCAGTGAACAATTAATTTTTAATTTGATTTAATTAATTTTTATATTACTTTGACTAATAATCAACTATAATAAACGAGAATTTCTCATTATGGGCAAAAAGATCAATATTAAATAGTGATCTACAGCAGGTTTGATAATTAACCTTAACGATTTATGTAGATCATGTAATTACGAGATCACGAGAATTGACAGAAATTTTTGTCAGGATGATTAGCGTTAGCTTTCGAAAAAAATTTACACGTATATTGCAAAACATTCAAACAAAATAACTTCTCTAGAATGTCTAAACCTATCAAATATATCGATACATCCGCATCTTATACTAGTTACAACATTAGAGAATGTTTACAACGAATTACAGGAAAATGTGAGACTTCGGGGATGACACCTGGTATTAGTGTTAATGATATTGAGCCTTATACAATAGAGGAACCTTCCAACAATAATTTCATTAAGTGTGGAGAACACCACCAAAAAATAAGAACTCTCGGACGAAGCCAGACACGCTCCGTCAGGTTGAACGTGGAAAAATGGAAAACGGAAAATAATCAAACAAAAAAGAAACCATATACACGCTGTATTTTAAGTACTCCTTATCCTATAGGAGAAACAGAAAATGATGTATATGAGATACCAACCATACCTACTCTGCCATCACAAAAACCAGCTATGCCTCCTAATGTAATGATCCCATCTGGAAAATCGCTAGACTCATTCCTGCCGTTAGCGAGGGACCCAATAAATTCACCGATGCCTGAACCTAATCCAATTTATAAGCAAGCGCCATTTGGTCAAAGTAGTAAACGAGCCGGTGTTGATAAATTTGTTCCGGAGAAGATAGATATAAATGTTAATAATGCTTTTATAAACTCGCCACTAGAAATTAATCAAAAATCAAAAGACAAGAATGGTCTTACTAATGGAAAAAGGACCAGAGACGTGGCTAAATTCAACCACGAAACCAATAAGGTGAAGAACACCAAACCAATGACCAAAAAAAATGAAAAATCAATTAATTCTAAGAGATCTAGAACCACAATTAAAGAAAATAATAAATCTATCATATGTAGAAGATATGGGTATGGATTTTTTGGAAAAAAGAATTACAATTCTTCGGATGAATCTTCAGATTTCGAAGTTGATCCATTAATTGCTCAATCTGCTCAAATTAAAACATCAGAATCTAATTCTAAAGTTGCTCGACGAAATACAAAACCGGGCTATTATTCAGCGAACTTTTCGTCGGATGAGGAAGAAACGGAACCAAAAAGAATCCAAAGAATAACTAGAAACCATAAACCATCGGGATGCTATACCGCGAATTTTAGTTCGGATGAAGATTCTGACGCCGATGCTGGTCATTAACAAATGCGTTTACATTTCAGACGACATCGTTTCAACATCACAACAGTTGTATTACAAGATCTTGCATGTGTTGGCAGAAAATTTTACACATTATCAATAAAAACCAATTTCGATATTTTCATTTTCTTTGATAAGTCTGTGATAATTCTTTCAACAAGCACATCTATTATGAAGATTTTTCCTGTTGCAATTTTCACATCTGATAAAACAGCACAAACTTTCATAAAGATTTTAAATGGATTGAAATATGTGATATCAATAATATTTAGTAAATGTGATTATATAATGGAATTATAAGTTATGACAGATGATTATAAGACAAAGACAAAAAATAATATTGTATTATATCTGAAAAAAAATTATTCTACATGTATATTTTTTATTTTTTTCAAGTAATGTAAAAATGGAATAAAAAGCATAAAATAATTGCTTGATTAATTGAATATATAAAGAAATTAGTTTTTACAAAAACTGAACTCATATTTAATAGTATTAATTAATAGTTATAATATTTAAAGTTCAAAAAACAATTTACAATAATAATACAAAGTTGAAATTCAAATTTTGAAAAATATTGTAATATTAATAATTATAATACAAAACAGTATAAGATATCCACTCTTTTATAAAAGTATTAAATTTTAATAGTTAATATATAGTAATACTTTATTATATAATTTAATACTAGTCAATCAAATAATTATAATATATTTTAATATCAATTTTATGAAACTAAAATTTTATAATTTCTTCAAAATTAAAATAAATCAAAAAAATTTTTTCTTACCAAGTTATAGCTTTACTAAAAAGCTATTAATTTATTACTAAAAAGCTATTAATTTATAAGAAAATTTTTTATTTTAATTTTTAATTCAAAAATTATAAAACTTTGTATAAGTATGCATCAAATTTTTAATTCACATATAATATCAAAAAGTTATACTCAAAAATTGTTTCGATTTTTTTGAAATTATATATAATTATTTGATTAATTAATAAAATTTAATTATTCTTGATTATAATAAAAAGAATGTACATAATATTAAATAACATTATGATAATTTGAACTGGTACTATATATTAGTTTGAATTAAAATTAATATAAATCAATCAAATTTATAGTTTGTTTTAATTTCAAGCAAAATATATAAAAAGTATTTAATTTAAATACTTATAACTTTTTTTAAAATTCTAACTGGTAATTTGAAAGAGCTTATCTCAAAGAATAATATTATTAATTTAGTTTTTTTAAATTTAATTTTAGTAAAGCTTTAATAAATTTTAAAAATAATTTATTTTTATTTTTGAGTATAAACTTTCTATACTATATAAAATAAATAATATTCAAATTATTATAACTATCAAAAATCAAATCAAAATCAAAAAAATTTTTCTTTCAAAAATATAACTTATTTAAAAATTATTAATTTGAAAGAGAATTTTTTTATTTAATAATTTATTCAAAAGTTATAATACTTTTTGAAAAATAATTAAAATTATTTTTTATATTAAAATTTAAAAATAATTTTTGATTTTATATTAAAATAAAGTTTATAAGTTATAGTTTAATATATATTTCTTTAGTTATATTAAATTTTTTCTGAAAATTATTTTAATTAAAAAGTCATCACAAAAATTTTTTCTAATTAAATTATATTTTTAATTAGAAAAAATTTTTGTGATAACTTTTTAATTAAAATAATTTTCAGAAAAAATTTAATATATCTAAAGAAATATATATTAAACTATAATTTATAAACTTTATTTTAATATAAAATCAAAAATTATTTTTAAATTTTAATATAAAGAAAAAATTTTAATTTTTATTATATTTTATTAATAAAATTAATATCTAACTTCAAACTTTTATTTATTAAGTATAGTATTTATATAAATTAAACTAAATTAGACTTTTATTTGAATTTAAGTTTGATTTAAAATTTGAATCAAATTTTTAAGTTCAAAAAAGTATTATAATATATTTTATTATTTTTATTTTTATTAAATAATAAATATTATATTCTTATTGATTATTTAATATTTTATTATTTATATTTTTATTAAATAATAAATATTATATTCTTATTGATTATTTAATATTTTATTATTTATATTTTTATTAAATATTTATATTATTGTAACATGACTTTTGACATATTACATAACTTTTTATAGTTTATTTTAATTGAATAATTGATTTATAAATTATATCTATATTTATTTTATATTATCCATATTTTATTCATATTATTTTTATCATATTTTATATTATTATCATTTTATTCTATTCTTATTATATTTCATATTATTTTTATATTATCTCATTCTATTTTATTCTATTTTTATATTATCTTATTCTATATTAATTATAATTCATACTAATCATATTTAATTCATATTACTATTTTTAGTATGAAAAATATGTGTTAATTGATCTATATAATCAAATTTGATTAATATTAATAGTAAAATTTATGTAATATTAGAGTGAGTAATGTACAATCATCAAGTAAGCAAGTAATGTATAACTATTAAGCAAGTACTTTTTGTAACCTTAATATCAATCAAAAATAGTTTTAATATTTGAAGGTTAAGTAATAATAACTTGTATAAATATAATATATATTATTGTATAATGGAATTTCACATTAATTATTAGTCAAAATTATTATTTAATCTTATTGGATAATTTTGAGAACACATGT